AAAAACTCAGAAATTGCCCTCGCCTTGCTCTGCTGCACAGACATTGCATATAGCCAACACAGAACCTAATATGAGGGGGGAAGACCCCATGCCCCACATCAGTAATACTGCACTGTAGTGTGAATTCTTTAGATGAAAAAATGGGCTTTCATTCAATTTCATGCAAGCATAAACATAGCTTTGTGAAATGTTTATTTGAAATGTTAGAAAGAGAACGCTAAACATATGATTTCGACAACAACAACAAAAAAGCAACAATAGCAAACCCTACACCACCAACAACGACGACGAGTATTTCAAACAATTTACAACAGCCCCGAAATAAAACAGCAACAACATCAATATCATCAACATCTCCACTACCGGCAGCAACATCGCTCAACAACAAAATTCCACACGACGTTAAAACCGATGGTTATTGGTGTGAACAACATATGTATGAGTTGTTTTGTTGTTGTATTTTTATGGCATACCTATAACTATTACGACTAAAACACCACTACTCTACTACTTCTGCTGCTGCTGCCACAGCCACAATAACAACAAAAAGTAAGCCTAAAAATCTATACATTTAAAAGGAAATAAATTAAACTCAAATATAAAGATGGCCGCCGCCATGCACAATGGCTGGCTGGCTGTTTGTATGGCTGACTTGCTCCGGCTCTCCTTGTGAATACAAACGCAAACAGCCAGACGACATACAATACAATTGTATGGCGGCGGCCTTTCAAATGAGAGTAGTATTTGTTGCCGTTACTGTGTTTTTGTTGTATTTGGTCTTCGCATTGTTGTTGTTATTATTGTTACTTTTGTTACATAGGAATTAAAATATGGCCATCCACACTACTAAACACTAAATTCATATGAAAGGAAAAACTAAGACGAGAAAACCACCCGAATTACTCACTACTCATAACAACAACAACAACGAACAAAACATTTTCCCAGAAGGAGAAAGAGAGTAAGAGTAAGGCATTGTGACAGTGTGTGTGTGTGTATGTTTTTGAATGAAATTCAAGCAAGGCTCGTAATATTTGTGACAATTTTGTGAGTGATAATTGTATGAAAGAGATAGAGAGAGTGAATAAGGCATATAACTGGCTCTGCTGAGTAGAGAGTATGGTAGATAGTCACATTTGTGGGGTTTTGTGTCAATTTAGCAAGTTTTTTGTTGTTTTGGCGATTTTTTTATAATCTTTAAATGTTTTAATGTGGAAAAAGAAAAAAAAAACTAAAATTTATGAAAACAGTTTTTTTTTGCACATTTTTGTATGCACATCTCACACAGAAGTAATGCATAGAAAACTAAATTTAGGTGTTGCAAATGCCGTTGTTAATACTGCCGACTTCCATGCATATAATCTATAAGAATGATGTGAAATTTCACTGAAATTTAGTAAAAATGAATGATAGAAGATCATCTCTAAGATCATGATCCAATAATAAGGTCGTCCGATAAGGCCAAATAATTTACCCGAGCTGCAAAAGTGCTTTCGATTTTGACTAAATATTGTGGAAACGTAAACAAAATATTTGACAGTATGGGGCATTGTACTCCAAAATTGTCGATAACGATTGCTTCTGACACGACCTGTTTATTGGATCATGTCTAAGATCATCTATTTTGAAATATATTTAAAAATAACTAATTTTAAATAATGCAGATGAATCAAATCCGGCTCTTTAATAGACGTATTTTGGATATACTAATTGTATTTTTCAGCCAAATGATCGAATGCTACAATTTATTTTCAATAACTTTTGACCAAACCTCAGTAATGTCCAATGACCGGCTTCTCCTCAACAATTCTTTGGTTTTTTTCAGATCCAAATATGAAATTGTGGAAATAGTCCTCGTTAGCCAGATCATTTTTATCGCTTCAAGAACCCTATCACCAAAAACACGGAATTGTTAATGATTGGATTGGACTTTATTGTATTAAAGGAACTTTATAAGTCTTAAGCCGTATACACACTATCACTTTTGATTGACATACTCGTCCAAAATTTTGCTTGTTTGATAGTGTCATTCTTACGGCAACCACGAAAACAATCATGGTTGTTGGAATGTCAGTAATCGATAAAAAAAGCTGACAGTCTAAAATAATAGTGTGTACTGGCCTTTAATACACTAGTCTTTATTCATAATAAGTTGTTGTTGTTGTAGCAGCCCTATTGCTTTTACACAATGGGCTGAGGTGACAGACGTTGGCCGAGTAAGACTCGGGTCGTTTCGGATCGTATACCCCTCTGTCGTGGAAAGGACAAAATAAGTTGTTATTACAACTTATTTTGTCGTTTGGTGAATGTATAATTTCAAAGAACAACGATATTCTTACTCTAAACGTCCGAATGCCAGATGGCTCAGTTAAAATATCTAAACTGTAACGACAAATCGTGAGATAGAACTACACTTTTTTAACTAAAAATTGGTTCCTCTAGTTTTCCTTGGTTCCCATAGAGTGTTCCTTAGTGTGGCCCCCCATTTCCTTTTGTATTATCCTTTTTGGCGTTTTTGTTCTCCTTTAAAAAAAGTAATGCTAATACCAACAAAATAACAGGATCAGATGACAACATTGATATTAAGTAATATGTCCTCTCACTGAGAGACAGAGAGTAGAATTTGTGGGACTTGTAATTAACAGTAACTACAATGTGTAAAAATTGAGTTGAATTGTTGCTTTTGTTGTTTGGGTTTTTTAGCTGGCGCACATTGCAATTGGTTGCCTTCATAAATTTGCTCTTGTTCTCTCTCCAGGGAAAGAGATTACTTTTGTGTGTCAACGCTGCAATTGGTTGATGCCTAGGTAGAGATTACCGTTCTCTGAGAGTTTCCCTTTCAATGGGGGTTAGTAATTGAGTGGTTTTGTTGTTGCACTTGGTGTTTTTGTATTATGTGTAGGAACAGCTGTTTTGTTGGCCATCAAATAACACTCAAATGTTGTTCTAGGTAAAGGCTGCAGAAACATATGATTATTGGGGCGCATTGAGAGTTGCCCAAGACAATTGAGAGAAACCCAAATACAACAGGCACACATTGTTTGGCGTTTTCTGCTTTTTTAGGTTTGTGGTTGGGTTTCATGGCGTTTCGAGAGAAACAGGTAACGAAAGTTGTGTGAGTGCGAACAAACAAAATTTCATATGCTGTAAATGTTCGAAGTTGACAGCTCAGTCAGTTGAGAGAGCTCGTACGATAAAGACGCCTTTACGTTTATTAGAACGATAACAAGACGCCGTAAAATACAAGGAAAAATATTGAACTATTTCCATAAAACAATAATAATAAACAAACATTTTAATATTATAAACAACAACGCGAAGAGCTCAAAATACCAAACGCGTAAAATTTCTACTACAAAAATAATAATACAAATAAATATTTTTTATATGACAAAACAAGTATCCAAAAATATAAACAAATTCATTTGACAACAAATTGTGATATTTAAAGAAGAAAAAAGAATACAACAAATAAAAATTTGGAAAATTCCAAAGTAACAAAAACAAGGAAAATACAAGCCAAGACCTTAAAAAGCGTCTTAAAAAACTCAGTGAAAAACAAAACAAGAAACGAAACAGTTGTTTATTGTGAGAGTCCGAAAGAAGAGAGATAAGCATTTAATTGTGTATGTGTGCATTTAGTTGAGTTAATTGAAAGAAAAAAATCACTCAAGAGAGAAGTACCACTAAGAGAACAAACATAAAATAACTCAATTGTTTTGAGTGAAATTGTGCGGAGAACAACAACGTGCGCGAACGAAACAGAGAGAGTTGCGCACATGTCAATGAGAATCGCCTAGAACTCTCATCGCAGCCGAAATTTACTCTCGCCAAGTGAGCCGCAATCATCTCACGAACGCCATCATAACGCAATTTTATGTTAAACGCTTACAACGTAACGCATTCGAAGCAATTTAACGTCTCTGTTTCTTCGACTGTTCCATAACGTTAAAGCTGCTCGTGGTAAACGGACGGACAATAATTACCGTAATTTGTAAAAAACTACACACAAGCATAAAAACTCAGCAAAGGAAAACGCCCGTTCAGAATATTGAGGCCAAATAAAAACGAACCATAGAAACCAACTACATTTCTGCCGTCGCGTCGTCTTTGTAAAGCAGCTTCTTTTGTAAATTTCAAAAAACAAAACTAAATTCTTAAGACTGAATACACAACAAAAACAAAATTTAAAAATAACATTATAAAAAAATTCCCTAATTTTTTATAATAATAACAACAACAACAACAACAAAAAGAAAACAACAACCATAATATAAAGACTGATTAAAACTATATTAAACAAAACAACAAATAACCAACAACAACAAAAAATATAATTTAAAATACGGGTCTAATAAAAGCAAACAAGAAATAACAAGGAGAAGTAATAAACAACAACAAAAATTCACATAGAATACCTGCTAAATAAAAAAACAAAACAAAAACATAAATAAATTAAAAATAAAAATCAAGTTACATATTTTACACTTTCATGGATTAACGTTCCTGCTACTACGACAACAACAAATTTAATCAATATTATTATTCAACATAACAACAACATATTATCCGCCTATTAAATCAAATAAATAATAGCAAAGCCTATATATATAATAGCCCTGTGGATTACCTATATTATATATATAAAATTTGTTCAATAACACAACAACAACAATAACTACTACAACTATCAACAATATAACAAAACAACAAAAAGCTTGGATTACCAGTGCCAATTTGTTAATAAAAAACAAAAAAAAAATAAAGAATATCCAAAAATAAACATCATCCTCCTCCTATTCCAAACATAAAAAGAAAATATATATATCACTAAATATGTTTTGAAAGAAAAGTGTGTACCGAAAGTAAATCAAGTGTCAGTGTTAAATGTTCACTATCACCAATACGCTAAAAACGCTGTGAGCTCATAACTAATTTGACCACGCACCCTCTTCGTCGGCGAAAGAAGGGGTTCCCCGTCATTTTTGTCATCTCGGCTTACCAGCTCCACAAGCAACACCAGCAACATGACTATGGCAGCCTGTTATGCCAATTATGACATGGCCTCCTTGGCCTCTCATAGCTTGGCCCAGACGCAAACGGCTCTGATGCACCAGCATCATGGCCAGCACCACAGTCAGCAACAGCAACACCTGTATCAGCAAAACACCTCCTCAGCGCATCATAATACCCACAGTCATTACTCACACAATGCCTCAACGGCATCAAGAATGTCAACGATGGCGGCGTCGGCTAATCAAAATAGTGTCGCCGCCGCCGTTAATTCTGCCACATCCGCCATCGCCTCCTCATCTGCATCAGCGTTAGCCAACGCTACTGCCAGCCAACAGCAACGTAACCAAAATGCCTCCAACTCTGCCACAGCAGGAGCAGCCACATCCGCATCAGTATCAGCCTCAACACCCGCCTCACAACAAACACCACACAGTGCGTCCACGACGACAACGGCCAAAGACTACTCCATACCCCTGCATGTGGACTGCAGTGTGGAATACGAGCTGCCCAACCAGCCCAAACCACCGGCGGGGCAGCGTGTTGAGCCCCTGTTGATGATACACCCATGCTATTTCCGCAAAATGGAATCGCAGAGGCGTAGTCCTTTTGTAAATAACATGCCCACAGCGGCGGCGGCCCGTAGCACAGCGGCCGCAGCTGCTGCCCTCACACACTCCAGCTCCCAAAACTCAGTGGTGTCGTCGTCCTCACGGCGGGCCAGACAAACTCAGGTTATACAACAGCAACAACAACAGCAGCAGCAACATCACCAACAGCAGCAACAACAGCACGCGCAACAGCAACAACGCCAGGCTGTACAAGCTGCCCAGCAGTACCAACAACACTTGCAACAGCAACAACTCAGGCATAGTCAACAATCTCAGCAACAACAGCAAATGTCACAAATGTCGCAACAGGCCCACTACCCCGTAGTGGTGAGCCATCAACAGCAGCAGCAACAACATCACCAGCAAACCTCCAGTAATGCCAGCAATGCCTCCTCCTATTTACGTTCCACACAAAGGGCGACAGCAGCGGCCCAGCAACAGCAACGATCAAGCCAAAGTCACCTATTAGTACAACAACAGCAGCAGCAACAACAGAATGCCTCGAATCAGTGGGATCATTTGGCTGCTGCAGCAGCAATTGCTGCCCGTAGCTCCATGACTCCAGCCCATTTGAATTATGGCCAACAAAGTGCCAGCAAAATGCAGAATGCTGCCGCAGCAGCTGCTGCTGCCGCCGCCAATAATGTTGGCAAAAGGGATGCCATGATTTCGGGAAGTGGAATTTATGGAGCCTCCAGCAAGCAACAGCAGCAGCAACAACAGCAACTCAACATGAGTTCTCTGTGGAATACAGGAGATACGGCGTCGGTGGCCGCCTCGGTTGCCTCTAGTAATTCAGCCAATGTTAATCTTATGATGGACCGTAGTCCAATGGCCACAGTTCCTAGTAATTATCAGGCTGGTCCTGAGGCCACGCCTCAGCTTAACAGCAACCAAAGTTCTGCAAATGCTCGCCATTATGCATCGACAATTGTGCCCAACTCCCAGCAAAGCCATACATCAGCAGCAGCCGCAGCGGCGGCAGCAGCTGCTGCAGCCGCAGCCATGACCTCACATCATCAACAGCAGCAACATCACTCCCAGCACAGCCAACAGCAACATAGCCAGTTGCAACAGCAGCAACACTATTCGGAAAAGATCAGTGGCAAATATCGACAATATTTGAGATCTCAGCGCATGCATCCATATTTGGCAGCCACCTCCAGTGCCGCTGCTGTGGCTGCTGCAAATTTGCAGCAAACCTTTCCACAATTTACCGCAGCCACAGCAGCCGCCGCAGCTGTGGCCGCAACACCATCATTCCAGCATTTGCAACAAATCTCCTGTTATAATGTGTGATAAAACTGAGTTCCAGAGCCGCCTGGTAGGATGTTGATGACAACAACAACGACGACGACGAAGCCGTTTTCGGATGATATAGGCCAATGCTACAACTCCTGATCCTGCTTACTCCTACTCCTCTTTCTTCTTCTCCTTCTACTACTCCGCATCTCTTTAAGTTATTCAAACGAAATATGAATCCAAAGAATGAAAAGATTGTTTTTCAATTATTATTCGCCACTCTCTATGATAAGACAACAACAACAGCAGCAGCATAAGTGATATCTAATGAACGCAGAAGATGATACGGGAAGGATCTAGCCAGGAATGAGGATTGTCAATGGCATTGCAAAGCAATTTTGGTGGCTTCACAGTGGCGTTTGGTACGCGAAGACAACCCGGTACGGGGAAAAGTTCTTAGAAAGGCTGTACATAATATTATATATCTTTAATGTATAAGGAAAAAAGCTTTACTTAGTAAAAACAAAAACTTATAAAAAACACAACAAAAAAACCCCAAAAGTCCCCTCTTAAAACTTGAATACAACAAAAAGACTCAACTATTTCCCCCGCCTCTTCGAAACAAATGCCGACGGAAAATGCCAAAGTGCTGAGAGAGAGTAAAAAAGCCTAGCCGTAGAGACGTAGCCCCGTAGCGGCTGAATTTTTAATTGTTTTGTTGCTTTTAAGGCATTATTGGTGTTGTTGCAACTTTACCATTCTGCAGATGCAGCCAGCAGGTTAGATGCCGCCTCCACTATCATGTCTAGCAGAGCAAACAAATTGAAGCCAAACCATCTCCCAAAACCCCAAATTTCAACTGGCATTATTGTGATTTTATTTGTACAAATTATAAAATGTTTAATTATTATTATTAATTTTTTTAAATCTAAAAATATTTTTCTTTTTTTTAATTTTTAAATGGAATTCTGTTAATGTTTAAATTTTCTAAATTTAAAGTAGAAAAAAAAAAACAAATAAAAAATACAAAAATCTATGCTGATTGTTATGAGATAAAAAAAAATAAATTTTACTTTAAATAAATTTCAAAAATATTTAAGATGAAACAAAATATTTTTTTATTATTTTTAAATTGACAAGAATAGTATATGAATGTATGAAACAAAAAATACAAATGAACACATTTACAATATGCCCTAAATATTACAACAACTAAAATAATTGGAAACTATTCCTAAGCTACAACAACCAGATTCAAAACCATGTTAGCCACAAAATAATGCTGTTGGAAAAATTCATAAAAAGTTAATGCTTAAATAAATAAAAACTAATAAAAAATCAAAACAAAAAGCAAGGCAAATGAACATATATAAATATTATTATAAAAACAGATAACGAAGTAATTATTTGTAAATCTATGGAATTAGTTTACAATTTAAAACTTAATAATAATAATATGAAGTATGAATAAAAAATACAAATTAATAATAATAATTATTTAAGCATAACTATAAAACAATTAGACCGACTCAAAGATAGCAACAAAATTATTATGGAAAAATTACAAAAAAAAAAGAAATTAACAAGAATTGCATGCAACAACCCAGAAAAAAGACACAGACAGGCAAAAGGCAACAAACAAACAATTATTAAACATCAACTACAACAAGCAAGTATATATAAAAAATACAACAAACATACAGAACATAAACAAACGTAAAACAAAACGTATGGTAGTGATATTTGTTATAAAATAATTCATTTTTTAGTAATTAATTTAATTTAAAAAACAAAACAAAAAACCAAGAAAAACAATAAAAATAATATATAAAAACCCTAAACTATATATATTATATATTAATAATTATAATAAAAATACAAACTATAAGTATAATAATTACAACAAATTATAAAATTGTAATCCTTCTCCCCTATTCCCCATATTAGACACAACAGTAAAACAAATCAAAATTCCATAATCATTAGACACACCACCACCACTCCCCTTCACCTTAAATATTGTAAAATAGCCTAAACTAACCCACCACCTTATTAACTTAAATATCCCATTCTCCCCTCCCAACCCCCTACCCAAATCACTCTCTTTCCTCCAAACTCTCTGTAAACCTTAAAACAAGTTTTTGGCATCATTGTATCTCTAAAAAAATAACATCTCTAAATTATTATAACCCCCCCTCTTAAAAGGAATAAACCCAAGAGAACTATAATGGAAAAAAGAGAAAAAAAATATTGCAAAATAAAAAAAAATCCATTAGCATGAAAAGAATACAATACAAAACCAATTATAAGTAAAAAACAAGAAAGAAGAACATAGCAAAAAACAAATTGAATGCATAACAAGAGAAAGATGAAAATGAAAAAAGAATGGAATGAGAGTAAATAAAAGAAAATAATGTTACATTTGTCATAGATGACCAAGAGGCTATTCTCCTCGCCAGTCGCTATGGACAAAACAAACAAAAAATGTTACCAAAAATTAAATCTTTAATTGTGTTTTTATTTCCTGTTTGGGATAATGACTACACACACACATACATGCCAATGTGTGTTTGTGTGTGTGTGTTGGTCGATGTGTGCGGTTTTATTTGGGAGGGAACATAAACATTAACTTCCGCTATTAGAATAAATTTCCGTCGTTGTTTAGATTTCCGGCGGCATTGTGGCGCACTATGTCTGTTTGCCGTCGGCAAATGCATTTGTTTTCGATGTTATGTCTGTGTCTAGTATTCGTTGTGTTCGTATATGTATATGTGAGCGAGTGTTTGTTCCAAGCCATAGACATTTTACCGACGCTGAATTTTCATTTTATGAAATTCACTATGAAAATACTATCGCAAGTGAAAAAAATGCTAGGGTCGTACAAGATCGATATGAAGGTATGTTTAATGGAAGAGTTGAAGCTGAAGCTGGACTGAAGTCAGGAAGTTTTCAAAGACGAAGGTTAAACTTAATGTTTTAAGCACAAGCTGAAGATTATGGCTCTTTGTAGAGGAACTGGAAGGAGTCTTTATAGATGAAATGAGAGCACGGATTATGATTTATATAATCTATATATGATTTCATATATAGATCAAGAAGCTTTTATATTTATCAGGAAGTCTATATATACCATCAGTAGCATAGTCAAACTGGGAGCTAGAACATGTATTTATTTAAAGACGAAGGAGTTAGTTTTTATAGATGATCCTAAGTATGGAATCTTTATAATCAGATTGGAAAATATGTGTTGGCCACAAGCAGCAAAGACCTGCCTAATATTGTCACCATTCTTTGGTGTGTCGATAAACTAGTTTTTAAGGAAGTAATTTTACAAGCATGCTGAGCTGGCTTAAAAAGGCCGGGGAATATTTTCTTTTCGAATTATATAGTCCGGAGGCATGGACTATAAAAAAAATTAAATTTTTATAGCGAGTAGAGATCCGTCAGGTCAGCTAACCTTATAAAGAGCGATTAAAGTAGATATCATTTTTTCCACTGTCATATCTTAATACCATTTTTTTTATTATCTATCGAATCTAAATATGTCGTTAAAAAATGTCATTTAAATTTATATACTCCATATAAAAATTAGCTTGTGAACCCGTTCATTTATGGAATTCTAGATGTTCATTTCAATCTATTAAGGCAGGTGATTTCATTTCCAAATATATGACGCATTTCCAATGATATGACGAAATCTGCACTATATATTCTCAATAGTTTGCATTTTTTACGATAATCATATATTTATGTCTGAATTTTTTGTTGTGATCAATGATTATGCTTTAAATTTATCTTATCTAGATGTTTTTTACGATGACATTAGTAAGCACCTGGCTAAAATTGACCGGCCTTTAGAACTTGTACAGTAACATAGTTCGATTGATATGAAATGTTAAGAATGATAACATCTCAGACAACAAAAAAAGATTCGATTATCTGCAGTAGATTAAATGATTTCAAATACAATGTATACTGGCCTGCCCTCTCTATATATACATATCATTTAATGCAATCACATTGTTATCGCTAACCTATATTCCAAGAACGAATGGACAGAGAATTGTTATTTTTTTCCAAATCCGTAACAAATTCTACATAAAATTTGGAAATAAAAAATTTAACCTTGGCTTAACATTCTAATGGATTTATTTTGGCTTTTGTTATTCTCTGTCTTTGACTTGTAATAACAAATCCGTAATACAAAACAAGAATTCGTACACATTTGCATTTTCGTTTACTTGCGACGCATATCTATTGTGTGTGTCTCCTCGGTCTCTGGCTCTAGTTAACCTGTGTGCATGATTTGAATACCCTTTGCATAGCTGTGTGGATGGATGGCTAGGCTGAGCTATGAACCCGAAATAAAACTGTGCTCTTGCGTTTACGTTGTTATTTTTATTTTTTAGGAAAAACCAAATTATTTACAATAAAATATTTATGTAAATAAACATTTGTGTATGCATAGTCTGACTATTTATATGTACGCAAGTATAGAGAGAAGGCTGGGTTGAGTTCCTCTGCGGTCAATCGGACATGTATGAATTTCCATACATCCGTTTCGAATTCCAACATTTTGATTTGTAATGCAAACAAAACTGACCGTTGCCTAGAATAATAACGAAAGAATAATTTCTTGGGAAATAAATAAATGAGCGGTGTTGAAAGGCAGCAAAAAGAAATGGCAAAACATATAGCAGAAGCAAGACAGCCTAAGTAAGCTAAGTGCATATTATATCCAAAAAAATGAAAAAGAAAAAATAATTACAATCGCAGCAACAATAACAATAATAGACGCGGCGCTGTTCAATGTTATCGCATAAATCATCATATAAGCATGAAAATACTTTGATTTCTTTAGGGTTGCCATGTGCAGGCTTTTGATATCAGCTGAAGCCATGCAGCTGACAGCCTTTATAGATAAAATGAAGATGGACAGACGAAGTCTTTATAAAGAATCTGTAGATCCTGGAAGTCTTTATAGACAAACTACAACCGAATGAAGACTGTACAGATTATCTGAAGCTGTGATTGTAGACGATTAAAAATCTAAGGGCGTAAAACGTGTAGTTTTTATAGAGGAGTAGAATTCCGTGGGATATGTGGGATATTAAAATTCGAGCATAGCTTTATAGACGTGTTT